CTACACTGCTTGAACTGTAAGGTTACAAAACTTTCATACAACAGTTTTAACCTATTATGTGGTTGTGTAATTTGTATTTGTATGTGTACAACTTCTCCTCATCAAGGCCATCCATTCTCATACAGAGAATGTTTTCCTGAAATCTGCTGCAAAACAGCTGCAAGTAAGAAAATACAGCCATTTATAAATACCACTGATGGAGTGGAGAAACAGGTAAAAGGCAGACAGTGCTTGTGAGGGAAGCATATTTCAAACTGTAATGACTGACCATAAAATACAGAGATGTTGTTGCTGTGAAGTCAACCAGATGATAAGCTGTAGCTATTATAAATGGCTGCCCTGCACGGTCCGGATAGAAATTTATAGAGAGGAGGGACGGTGGATCAGTGTATTTTGTGTGAGCATGTGTGTATGTATATACCCGAAGCTAAATATCATCTTAAGCTCCTGCTCCCTGACCCAATGAGCCATATATCTACTGTACATCTATATTCACTCCACACACCAACCCATACTGTAGATTGTAGATTTGCATAGTACAGTCTATAATAAAATCACACATGCCCATAGACACACACAATCTTTCTGTAATATATAATTCAGATTATTTATTTTTGTGAAGCTTTTTTTAGACTAGAGTAAAGTCTAGACAATTTGTCTATATCTATACTATCACTATCACTGCTCTATACTACAGGGCAGTGCCTGTCGGCGGGTGGTTCTTATGTATGGCTGCAAAAAAAAAGGGAGGAGGGACTGTAACATTTTACAAGTGGCAGCTAAAACAGACTTATTTGTGTCACTGATAAGACCTCATCTGAAGGAGAGGCTGTTTCACTTGAAGACAGATAAAAGAGGTTATTAAGTTGATATAGGGAAAAACTAATGACAAGAGAGCATGTGATTTTTGTGCTGGTAAGTGTGTGTATGTGTAGATGTGTAAGTGTGGGGGAGTGTTTGTGTGTCCCATGTGGCTCTAGATATTTATCTCAGCCCAGCTATTCATTAATGGGTCTGTAGCCTGCTGGCACCATGAAGAATTATAGGACAGAAGCAAGCAATACATTCAGGCTCAAATCCAGACTGTGTGTGTGTGTGTGTGTGTGTGTGTGAGTGTGTGAGTGTGTGTGAGTGTGTGAGTGTGTGAGTGTGTGAGGGAGAGGGAGAGAGAGAGAGAGAGAGAGAGAGAGAGAGAGAGAGAGAGAGAGAGAGAGAGAGAGAGAGTGACATAGTTTTCTTGTGATGTGTTAGTTAGCCCCAGGACGTAATGTGGGTTTTTAGGATTATTTCTAGAAGAAGAACATAAAAAATCTAAAACCAGAAACACACTGAGTGCCTGCTGGGGCTTTTTAAAACCCACAAACTTAAAAGGACAATTTCATGCAAATGAAATCACTCTATAGAAGGGATGGGACAATATATGATATCATCACGTATCGCAATAAAAAACAGGCTCCCTCTCAATGTCACTTTCCCTTTTTTCTCTCTCTCACTTTCCCCCTTTTTTCCTACGAGAATGGGGTCCCTCTTTTAGTTCTCTCTCTCTCTCTCTCTCTCTCTCTCTCTCTCTCTCTCTCTCTCTCTCTCTCTCTCTCTCTCTCTCTCTCTCTCTCTCTCTCTCTCCGGTCTTTCCAAAATCCTTTGATCATGGCTGAAGGCTCGCCTTGCCCATTGTATTCCCCACAAAAAAAAGTCTGGATGTATCTAGATTCTAGATCAAAGAAATTTACAACGAGCAGAGAAATGACATCCCCAATTCAAAAAAATGGAAAACCGCAAGATCAATTTCAAGACATCACACATGACATCCAGGCAATGTTAGAGGCGATTATACAGACAGACAGAATCAAACATTCATCATACATTATTTTACGGCATCCAGCACACAGCCCATCTCAAACAGTAAACATACAGATAAACCAGACACATGGTATTCTATTAATGACCCTAGTTATTGGCCCTAGGTAACTGAATAATCTTCTGTGTGCTCTTGTGGTAAAGTAATTATCCCGGTGTTAAACGAGTGTCTCCCCAACTAGGCTAATCAGAAGTTCCGTCCACAGACCTCCAGTGAGCAGGGCACCCACCCGTGACCATCTCCAATTTACAGCTACAGTCCGTTTATGATGCTGACGCTAACGAAGGATGATATTCAATTAACCAACTAATCAAAACAGACTGGCCGCAAGATGTACTGCAAAAAATATCAGTTTTAACAAGCCATTAAGTTCTATATTCAGCCTTAGAAAACTATTTCCTTTACACAAGTGGAAAGCCAAATGATGTGGGAGCTAGCTTTAGTTCAGTCTAAATGCTTTTTCACTCAGTTCAAGGAATTTTAATGTGACAACTGACCATACAGTGTGAAATGAGGGAGACTGTTCTGACATGGTGTTGCATAGTTTCAGGAAACTGTTGAACTAAGTTAATTTAATTTGGCAGTAAGCTGTGTAACACACTTTATTAGGGTGTTTTGGTTGTTTAAATTGCTAATTGCTGAGCCAAATTTCAGAGCCAATGTGACGCACCATAATTGGTCTTTTCATGTTTCTCGTTTTTTATTGTTTGTATTTATCTATCCAATAATGTTTTCCCTTTTGTCTTCTTAATTGGGAATGTCCAATTCCCTATGACCTACAGTTGTTGTCACTGCTAATTTTACTGTTGTCCTGGGGAGGAGTCAGACAGCCATGTGCTGCACCAGCTGCTTCTTTTTTACCTGACAGCAATGTGCTTCACCAGAAGAGTGTAATATGAGGGAGGTTCCTACTATACCTGTCTGATCCCTCTCTCCTACAGGCACATGCTTTGAATAACGAAAGAAACATGACAAAGCAGCGACAAAGTTAAGAACCTGCCAAAACCACACATTGGGTGTATTGGTATGCGCAGTCTCTCTCTCAGTGCTATAGCTACCTCTGCTAAGAAACAAATCCCAGGTCTCTGCAGCATTGAATGAGAATTTTGCACCCCTCTAACTCTGACTGAGAATGACAGTTGTTTTCTTTCCAGCCAACACTTTTATCCACTTCCACACATTCACATTTAGGGGCTTCCATATATTTCTACTGCTAACCATCGAGCAGCTCCACTGGACCAGTTGGAGGTTAAGTGTTTTGCTCAAGGGCACGTTCACAGTAATTGTTAGAGGAGGGGAGAGCACTGGCTTTTCCTCGGTTTTGTAGCTTTGGGCCAGCACTGAAAATAGATGGGTTGCTGTGTAATATTATTTAGACTGACACTGTATTATAAATAGTCACAACTTAAAAACAACTTAACCCATGACAGGATATCAACGTTTACTTAATTCTATGAGAATGGGGTCCGTCTTTCAGTTTCATTCTCTCTCTCTCTCTCTCTCTCTCTCTCTCTCTCTCTCTCTCTCTCTCTCTCTCTCTCTCTCTCTCTCTCTCTCTCTCTCTCTCTCTCTCTCTCTCTCTCTCTCTCTCTCTCTCTCTCTCTCTCTCTCTCTCTCTCTCTCTCTCCTTCCCCTTTAATCTCTAATGACAAGGCAAACCCAAATAACAGGATGTACAGCATACTTAGTATGTTTTAAGACTTTACCTCACTCTCAGCAGGATGACGTTGATGATGATGTAGATGAAGATGATGATGTGTAAGATGAGCATGGTGATAATGAGCATCATGGTGGCGATGACAACAAAACTGCTATGATTTAGTTACGCAGTGCAGATCACTGGGGGAAGAGTAGAATAGAATTGAATAGAATTATATTTGTGGCATTTGAATGGTAATCACATGATAATGCTTCCAATCTATTCAAAGTCTATTTTGTTCTCTGCATATTGGCTGGCATAGGTGCTAAAATCATTATTCATCATCTGTTTATTACACAGTTGGCATGGCAACCAAAACTCAAGAGGCTTAGCAATTATACACACACACACACACACACACACACACACACACACACACACACACACACACACACACACACACACACGCACAGATGTAGATAAAAACAGTCCATTTGGAAGGTTATTTTTGCAAGTGAATTGTAGGAGGAATTAATCTAAGTGAGAACAAAGCTTAATGTGAAAACCAAAATTCAAAACAGCATGTGGTCTGTGTGTGTTTTTGTGAATGTATAAAGGGCAACAATATATCTGTACAGTATATTGGGGTATTTAACACTATTCAGTAGGCTTCTCTGTGTTCATGATACAAAGACTACTGCTCCACTATTTCACAGAGGTAAAAATTGACAGCTTTTCGACGAATACTTTGAATTAATGACTTCCTCCACAAATATCGAAAGACATTAATCCACATTTATGAAATGAGCAGTCTGGATGCTAGATTGATCAAAAAATAAGAAATGTCTGTATCTGTCTAACTCAGCTCAGCTAATTACATTGTTTGGTCTGTTCGGCTTATCATTAATTTGCATAATGGTAACGAATTTAAAAAAAGCAAGTCCTGCTGGTCAAAGATCAGGTTGAAGTTACTTTGAGGTCTAATAATCACCAGTTGGATGCACATTTTATGCAAAGAACTTGGTTGAAATTAATTTGAAGCAGATTTGTACCAGCTGTGCTCTTATTTTGACATTAATAGCCCTGTGCTTATAATCATCAATGGCTCTCATAAGAGGGTTATTTTAGCTCAGAGCCACAGCTTTGCCTCTCCATCTGCCCTCCAAAACATCCAGTGGCTGAAATCCCCAATGGATCACACCGTTATAGCTGCCTGACTATATAACGTGGAGCACACTAGTTACAAAACAGATTCTTTCCAACTGATTTTTACTGGTCCAATCACATTTAAATTCCATACACTGAGCAAGACTCACAGGCACAGACTGATCTGAGGAAATCAAAGATCCAGTATTACAACTGAATTATATTATTTTAGTAAGTGAGTAGTAGGACACACATTCAGAGAGAATTTTCAAGGGGAAACCTGTATATCCCTTATGTACAGCAACATACCACTGCTCAACATGATACAGCAGAATTGAACTTTGTAGCTCCACTGACCTGCCGATAAGGAGGAACTCTCCTACTAGTCCCTGGCGTCTCATGGCCATGAGGATGTTGCGGACAGTCATGCCTTCACAGAAACATGCCACCACCCTGGCCTTGGGAAGGTGGGCCCTGAGTCTCTCCAGCAGCCGATCAAAGCTCTGCTCTCCAGCATTGCTCCAGATTTTGCCTGGGAAAAACATGTCACACAAATTCACACATGGCCTGTGATGGTTGTGATATGTTCGAATCTCTGTTGCTTCGATTGTTATGACATGTTGAGTTTCTTTTGTCTTTTAGTGTTTCTTTTCCAATAATTAATGAAGTGTCAACCAAATGCCACCACAGTGTGAAATGCAAGTCTTCACAAGGTAATTAAACAGGCTGACCTTCAAAGTAAAATAGATGTATTCTTGTTGATTGGATGTCTGTAACCTGAGACAGCTGTTAAATTAATTTTATCTGTCGACACCATGGTGTCTTTGTTTGACTAAATGTAAGAGTTAATTAGATGTAAGTGATGTTTATTGCCCACAATATATATATACCCACAAAATTCCATCTAGTTTCTTACTTAACTAAATATTTCTGTCATGTTTTGGGATTTAATATTGCTTAGATTGCTGTTGTTGTTTTGACCTGAGTATCTTACCAGAGTGGGCAATACAGATGCCCTCCTTGGCCGCCATGTCCTTGAATGCTTCCATCCCACTCTCACCATAGTTGCCTGTAAAACCACAAAAAGGGTAAGGGTAAGGGTGAGGGGTATTTAAGTAATTCAGTTTTAGAGAGTAATCTGGATGGATGTGTGTAAAGATAGACAGACAGAAACATATATACACGCATGCATATACAGTTCATGGGAAGATGTACATAATGACAATAAACATTACTGAATCGCAAATGATCTAATTCTCCATTAGAGATGACTTTTGGTGAAAAAGATGACAGTTAAAGACTTGATCCCTCTTGGTTTTCAAAAACATGCCCACTGCAGTAACTCGCCTGCTACTGCACTACTCGTAAAAGCTCAAATTTATGTCAGAGAAAGCGTCTCCCCACTGTGGCACCCGTTTCTTTGCCAGAGAAAGTGGGTGACCTGGAATTTATGCTAATGAAGGGTTGTACACACTGGCAAAGAATATGATAGGATTCCCCTCTTTAATTTCTCTTCTTCTCCCTTTTATCTCTTTGCCATTTCTGTGTTGATTAAATAAAAGATCAAAAATATCTCTTTCTCACCATTTTTACCAGTGTTTCACTCTTTTCTCACTCAATGAGGTTGTTATATCTTCTAACGCTTTCTCCTTTTTACTGAGTGTGTTATCAAATATACAATACAGTCTAATTATTTATATGTGCGTCATTTAAACTGATGAGAAAAAAGAAGAGGTCAAAGGAGAAAAAGTGATAGAAGTAGAGAGAAAAAAGATTGAGATAAGGGAAAATAGGAGAGAGATGGCAAATCATGATGCTAAAGGCGAGCACACGGAGAGAAATGGGGAAAAGGATGAAGAAACGTACACTGAAAGTAGAAGAGGTCCCACGATCCCTGACCGCTGCTGCATCTCAGTGTGTGTGTGTGTGTGTGTGTGTGTGTGTGTGTGTGTGTGTGTGTGTAGTCGGGCCAATGATGAGTGTGGTGGAGCGAAGTGTAAAGTCCTGTAATTAGTGTCTCAGTGAGAGGAGTGGGAGACAGATGGTACAGACCGTCCTTCCTCTTGCGCACACACACACACACACACACACACCATCATCAAAATCGATAAAGCTTGTAACCTACTTCACTCTGGACTCAACAGGGATTTATGTGTGAGACGTCTCTCTCGCTCAGTCAGCCTGTCATGTGTCTCTTGTGTCCCGCAATCTACCAAACATACATACACACGCACGCACGCACGCACGCACGCACGCACGCACGCACGCACGCACGCACGCAGCACACCACACACACACACACACACACACACACACACACACACACACACACACACACACACACACACACACACACACACACACACACACACACACACACACACACACACACACACACACACACACACACACACACACACACACACACACACACACACACACCTTTTAGCTATTATCTCCTGTGTAGCACCACGGTGACCATTATATTTAGTACATTTACCTTAAACTTCCTTTTCACATGTGGAGACTTCCTTTGTTTCATCACCTCCCACTGAAAAACCCAACTGGGACCTCCAGCACAGAGATCACACATTAACAGCTTCCCTATGTTTTTCTTCAAACCCCCTTTACCCCTCTGCTTTTGTTCTTTTTACCTCTCGCTGTGTCTCTCTTTAATCCCTATATTGAAATCTATAGTTTTAATGATAAAAAAGAACAAAAATCCCTTCTCCCTGTGTGCTCCTAACATTTATGCCCCTCTACCCTCTTCTTCTTTAATTTTTTCCCTTCATCTTGTTATTCATCTGCTATATTGCATCACTTTATAACATGCAATCAAATGCAAAGCTGAGGGGTCTTCTGCTTGCCCTCTGTGGCTCTCTTTCTCCCTCTCCTCTAGCTACTTGCATCTTCTGCCCCCACTTTTCTCAACAGCAAATCAGGCAGCAAAATGTAAGATACAGAGACAGGTCGCTCTGTGTCTTTTCCCTCTCCTCTTTTCCATCCCTGCCCTCTCCCTCTCATCCTTCCTCCATCCTTCTCAATTACCATCCTCATCCTCTTGTCACTCTTATCAGGTCTATTACATGCAATTACATATTCCCTCCATTTCCCCTGTCACCCTTCCTTGTCAGTTTCCTCTCTTTCAACCCTCACTCCCGCTGGTCATGGATTCACCCAGAGAAAAACAACAGTAAAAATTAAAACATTATTAAGTAAATGGCATCCTCCTGCTCTCTCCTCCTATTCCTCATGATCCCTCTCCTTTTCTTGTTCTCTCCCAATTCTCCTCAATCCTCACCAATGCCACCACTACACCATATCACGTCTGTAGTGCTACAACTACCTGCAGCTAAATGCCAGATACAGTAACACCCTGGGGCATACTGACACTCATACCGTGTCAAACACTGAGTTACACAAGATTACAGAATTACATGGCGAACAGAACACACACATAAACAGTAAAAGCATGCTTTGGCAAACAGACTCACAAACTCTATTTGACATATTTGTGTCTACACCAGTATCATTATTGAGGAATTACGCAATATTATATTAGGGAAGCAAGAAATAATTATTTTCATTATTGATTAATCTGCCAATTATTTTCTTCATTAATCAGTTTATCATTTGGTCAAAAAAATCTGTGAATAGTGAAAATGGCCATCACAAATGCACAAATGATCACCTGTTTTTTTTCCAACCAACACTATAGATTATATCCAAGACCTTCAGTGTACAATTAAATTCAACCCACAAAAGCTGAAAATCCTTTTTGCTGGAAAAAAATGATATTACCAATTTATTGATAATCAAAATAGTTAAAAATGTATTTTATGTTGATCAACTAATCCATTAGTAGCTTGGAGCTACACAAAAGAAACACTGACTTGCTCTGGAAATAATGGCTAAATGTTTTTGTTGTTTTTGCATTTAGCCTGCGGTTCTTTAGTCTGGTAAGACACAAACAGTTTCACTAAAGCTCTAAGAGGTTGTAGTCACAATGACTAATTTAGTTTATTCCAACATATGTATCCTTGTTCAATTCATCTTTATTTCTAGATATGCAAATCATTCCACTGGACTCTACTGTTATTTAAAAGCTCAGTTCAAACAACTTATTGAGTGTTATTAGGAGAAAAGCTGAAAGACCTCAAGGTCACAAGACATTAAGACTTGTAGACTCTTAGTATTATTAAGAATCAGCTGTTGGATATATTTTCATGATTTTTAAATTGTATGTGCTTGTCTGTTACCCCATTCTTCACTATAGAAATAGCTCCAGGCTACAGACAGGATGCATACAGTAGTTTCATAACCATAACCATCGTTTTCTCCACTTGCACCATGCTTTTATTCTACTTAGTGAACTCAGGATCTAGAAATATACCCTGTCTGTGCTCAGAAATCCCACTTTCAAGTAAGAAAGTAGAAATTCTGCTGACAGACACTTTCAACAACCTATGTCTATAACCAGTAGATCTTAATTTCATTAGCCTAAGACCCACACTTTACAGTTTAATTGATTCATCTGTTTTAAAACTCAGCCCCATATATTACTATAACAAAATAGGAGTCTCTACCATTGTTGTATATACACACATGCAGAGAAACAAACATGCACACTTGCATCAGTGCATACTATTTGCACAGATGTAAGCATGTGCTCATATTAATGCACAGGTGCAGGTAATTCCTTACCATGAGTGTGTTTTACCATGGCAACAGCTCAGACATTTCCCCCCTTAAGAGCTGTGCCAATTGGAAATCTCTATTGAATTCTCCCTCATAGATATCACGGATACAGACTGGGTAGCAGGAGGGCTGGCAAACCATCTATCTAAGTTAACAGAAGCCATTAAATGGATTCCCAAAACATCAGTTCTGAAATCTGAGCTGGAGCCAGTTTCAGCAGATGTAGTCCTGTGAACCAGGCTCATTGAAACACAGAAAAGGTCTTGTTATAAGGGAACCCACCAGAATCTGGCCCATGACCCATTTTGAATCTTCACCCTTAGGCGGTATTGTCAGAGACAACAGTAAAAATGTGAGCAGATTTTGTCAATCTCCTCTTCTCCATCCATTATACCTTTCTCTACACTGCCCTCCCAAACTCATCTCACCTACATCTTCCTCAATTCTGCAAAGGCCATGACAGTTAAATAGGCACAGGGCATGTCAAGCTCCAAAGACAGAGAGAGAGAGAGAGAGAGAGAGAGAGAGAGAGAGAGAGAGAGAGAGAGAGAGAGAGAGAGAGAGAGAGAGAGAGAGAGGAGTGATTGATAAAGAAATGGAGAGAAAACAGATAAGGTGGAAGATCAAAATGGCTAATAACAAATAGGAGACAGAGATGAGAGAACGTTAGAAAGAAACAAAGGGAGCGAGAGTAAAGAGGAAGAGGTGGAGAGAAGCTTGACATCTTGATTTATTGAGAGATTTATCAATTTCTGCTGGAGCGTGCTTGGGTGACACATGTCAAATTTCATGTCAATAAAACCCACTGAGCTAAATTGAACTGAACTGAACAGAGCGACTAAGAGAGGGACGCAGAGAAAGACTGAAACAAAGGAATACTAAACTCAGTGTAGTGGAGGACGATAGTGTTGATTCTCTTCAGTGAAGTGTGAGAATTATTATTCGTTGACTGACAACTGACTGTGATCATCATACAGCAGAGCAATAATAGAAGTGGATGACGGTGGATTAAAGAAGAATGCTGACAACGGACGACACGTCCCTTCTCCTTCACAGTGCCTTGTGAAGCAGACGAGCACCTTCAGCTACAGGCTGGTCTCCCGAAGGTGCTCTACAAAGACTTCATTTCATCACTCAGCTCATCTAAGTTGCTCTGCATAATGATCTGTTACGGTCATATTTCTTTCTGTCTCACCTCTTATCTCCGTGGTGATTGACCCTTTAGCTTAAAATAATGATGCAAAAATGGCAAAAGGAACTGATGATTATAAAATAATCTCTACTTCTGCTGTGCTGCAATTAATCCTTTACTGCTTCTGCGTTTATACTGTTAGGGCTTATTCTATTAATTAAAATCAGCTTTAGAGAAGATTCCGATTTATGGGTTGCAGGAAATTGATTGGCATGTCCATCCCCAGAAACAGCACCGAACTGTGCATCAGTTTTAGTATTGCAGGCACACTGTCTAGCCTAGAGAGACTATTTGTATCCCACGCAGAACGGTTATAAAATCCACATATTACATGCATGTATTCGGGCATGTACAATATATACTATCTCCCGATGAAGAAAGTACTCATAGCGCTCCCCTTGCAATAATATTACTTAATTACTTCAATGTAATTACTATGCTGATATTACATGTATTATTCAGTTTCTTGTGTATCAGTTTCTATCGTCTCTTGCCTCCAGATGCAAAATGTTAATGCAGAGAATTAATGAGTCTCTATAAACTTCCCCCCGCCCCATCTTTCTCTGAATCTGCAGCTCCTGTACGCTCTCTTATCTATCCCAAGCACTCCACAGCAACCACACACACACACACACACACACACACACACACACACACACACACCTTGTATTCTGTCTTCTTCAGATTTCTGGCACTATTATCATGGCTTACCCCATTCTCCTTTCCTCACTTGTGCCTCATCCCTCGTCTTCCTTTTGTCCCTCAATAAACCCCTCGTTTCCTCCATTCCTCTGTTGTTTTCCTCTCTGCCCTCCGCTCAACCCCCTCTCCTTGTCCTCTCCCTCCATTCCTCCAATGCCTTCCTCTTTCTTATCTCTCTTTCTCTCTCTCCCTCGCTTTCCTATCCCTTCCTAATTCTTGCCGTCTTCTCTCTGCCACCCTCCCTCTCTGGCTCTTGGTGTTTGAGAGTGATTGTGTTTGAGAAGGCAGTGGCCGACCTTGAAGACCAGTTCCAAGGTCAAACGCGCCCGTCAGAGGAAATGCAAAGACCGATTCTTTGACTGACAAACACACACATTTGCACACACAACTACAAGCACTCTCTCAAACACAAGTGCCTACAAAAGATACACACCACCTGCCTTGCCGCTAAGATTAGTAGCAGCTCAAACACACACACACACACACACACACACACACACACACACACACACACACACACACACACACACACACACACACACACACACACACACACACACACACACACACACACACACACACACACACACACACACACACACACACACACACACACACTTATATGGGGATCAGTCTCATGAGAAAGCAAAAATAAATGTCACCCTCAAGACAAATGTTACTTCTGACACCATATTGTTACAAATATGCAGGGTGATTTGTCTGTAACCCATCATTTACATAAACAAATATAGACATATTTGCAAATATGTCTGAAAATCTGCAAAGAAACCAGAATTAAAGTAAATGATAATATAATTCCATAACATTAAATTAGCATAAATCAATGTTGTTATTAGGGTTTAGTGTGTCTCTAACTCTCTCATTGATTATTCAAATAAACACATACCATAAATAATTTGCCAAGAACCCCCTAAATTTGTATGCAATTATTTAAATATTGAAAGCTTACATGATTTTGAATTGTAAAACCAAATCATACTGATTAATTAATCATATTATATAAATAGAAAAGTAGTCCTTTATAGTTTTACTATAATAATACTATAGTTTTTATACTATTTTCAATTAATACACTCAAATCAGTCCATATTTGTGCAATATGCTTTATACACTGAGACTGACATCAGCTGCTACATCACATTACATTTTCTGCCTCTTTATGAACTCTATAAACTCCCCCCTCTCCTCCAGTGCATTCCCAACACACAATAACACACAAACATCTTTCACACACAGACACAAATACACATGCATTCAGTCAGTATATATATAAATGAGTATACACTCAAATACATACATACATGCACACCACTAACACACACACACACACACACACACACACACACACACACACACACACACACACACACACACACACACACACACACACACACACACACACACACACACACACACACACACACACACACACACACACACACACACTTCATATCTCAACTCAAATGCTGTTGTAATGCCCTCAGGCAACGCCAGAGGATTCAGAGTCCTCAGTGTGTGTGTGTGTGTGTGTGTGTGTGTGTGTGTGTGTGTGTGTGTGTGTTTATCGCTCTTTATCACACACTTTCAGGTTCAACAAGCCTTCTCTCGGTGGACACAAGCACACACAGACACAGTTACTGCATTGTCCTCCAGTTCCCGTAGCTGTCACACTATCGCCCACCAGTAGACCAACTGACTCAACTCACTACCAACTTCAGAGTGACTGAATGAGTGAGTGAGTTTGTATTGTATCTCTCCATACCCCCCCACACACACACACACACATATATACTTTATACTTTGAGGTCTGGCACCTGACACTCCATCCTTCTTGGCAGCACTCCCTGGCATACTGTCTGTCTTCCCCCGTTATTCCCAGATGCTTATCTCAGTGTGGCAACCACCTGTTCTTGTGACTCCCTTCGTTCCCCCCCATCTTCCAGCAATTACCCGCTGATCGACACTGCTGTTTTTGGACTCTACTGCTTCACCAAATTCTTGGATACTAATTAGCTTCAACTTGGCTACAATAATTCCATTTTCATCTCATTTACCTTACTAAGCTGAAAACTCATCTCTTTAAAAACTACTTCACCCTTCCTCTCTGCTGCACTTTTGCTACAACCAATCTCATCAATTAAATTCCTCTCTTCTTTATCCTCCTCTTTCATCTTTTCCTTGCACTGAAAATATTCTCGTTTAAAAGAAAACATTTCTGCTTCTTTTCCTTGACTCTAATTTCACGAAAAGTTTATTTTTTATGACGCATGACATATTTCTTCACAGTTTGACATTTGAGAGCAATCAAGGACTTTCCACTTTCACTCCTGTTCCATTTTTTTTAAGTTACTCTGGATAAGATTCAGGTAAATAAACACAATGAGGACGCAGTATAATGAGGCATTGCCAGAAAGAGAAAGAGAGGACAAGAAAAAGGAAAAGACAAGAGTCTGTGTGTGCAGGTCTGAGCTTGGAGGAGGAGTTTAAAAGTCAGAGACGTGTGTGGGTGGTTGTACCTTCAGTGTGTATAGCAGACACGTAGCTCCAGTTGTATCTCTTGACAATGTCCACCATAGCTCTTGCCTGCTGGGCATCTGAAGGCACCACCCGCATAAAGTACTTAAAAAGGCTCTAAAACAATGGATATAAAAATCATTGAGAAGCATGGTTATCCAGAAGCATCTAGAACATTCAGTTAGGTAATGGGTAATTCTACATAATCCAATTTAAGTTACATTAAAGTAGCAGTAATATATTCTCTCTGTAATTGATTCCTTCAAATCATTTATGTACAACATCAACAACAGAAGTTGGTCTAAGATACATGGTCTCACCTTATCACTGAGGTCCATACTGGTGGCAGAGTAGGCAATCTGTGGTATGTTGAACAGCTGTAGAAGGTTCTGAACCTGGATGGCCACGGAGCTTGACCCTGGTCCAATTAAACCCACAATGGGTTTCTTCCCCCGCATTGGAGTGGCAGAGGGGTCTGCACACTTCATCGTCGCTACTCCACCACCTCCTCCTCCTCCTCCTCCTCCTCCTCCTCCTCCTCCTCCCCCCCACGAACCTCCTCCACCCAACTCCTCAGCCTCATCAGAGGAGACCAGGGAATCCCGTATGAACTCGATGCTCTGCTCCAGAGCCACCGCTGAGTGCCAACAGGAGTCCCGGATCTCACAGCCCAGGGTGATGTTGGGAAGGATGTACGGGTCAATGTTGATGCGGTCCAGTGTGTGCATCATGGCCTCCACCCTCTGGATGCCATACTGCTCTCGCACCGCGCCACACTTGCGCTCATGAACCTGAGCACAGTGTACAGAGTGGAAGAAAGAAATTATTAAATGACTTAAATTAAATGACATTTAGATAACAATGTTTTCTGAATAATTAACGCCATCATCAGTATTGAGAACATTTAGTCACATTTCCACTTTTTAGCAGATTGGATGAACAGTAAGACACATTTTTACAATTTAACACACAGGTGCTTCACTATGAGACTAATATTGGATTTATACTCACATGGCTTCCATGTTCAAAGAGTCATTTTTTCCCATTTGCAATTATCCATTATGAGATGGAAAAAGCTTTAATGTCAGTGGGTTCCTGGGGCAGCTAATGGAGGCTGAAGGTTCATGGACTCATTCTACAAATTGAATGTGTTCTTTGGGTCTTAATAGGCAAAGCAATTTCAAGATTCTCTGTACAATAGATCGGATATTTGGCCAAAAATGATTCTGGCCATCACTTTAAACACATTTTCTGTCTTCACGTCTGTAACATTTGTTATTTGTGTTATAAGTTATAAGTGTTTCTTTCAAATTCAGGCAGGATTACATATGAAGGTCAGCGCGAGTGGATTGTGAACTGAATTCCTATTCCCATAGAAGTATGACACACACACCATCCTGCAGACACACAAAGACAAAATCCTTACCTTGTCAGCAGGAGGCTGATGATGGACAGAGAACAACGCTCCAATGATGATGTCACCAGGTATGTGTGCTACAACTCGTCGCTCGTTGGACTGGGCAGAGTCAGCTTGATCAGGCCACACCCAAATGGACAGGACTAGCAGCAGCCGGAGCATCATGTTGGTCCGTTAAGGTCACAGAGGAAAAGCAGATCTCAATTTTTTTTTGTGTAGAGTCCTCACAGGAAACTACTTGTCCGAGAAACACTTGTCTTGGCCATTGCGAGAGCTTGTGGCACGTAGTTTTAAAAAACTGATTATTTCAATATATTCCTTTCTTCTGACTTGTTTTTCTTTCCTTTGGATTTCAAGGTGGGACCATCACTGCAACAGCTGAGACAGGTGCAGCAGTGCAACCTGGGAAATTCAAAAGAAAACCTGGGCTAAGTCTCATTGGCTGAAATAACTTCAGGCTCCCCCAATTATAAGGTAGAGTTGGTCTCCATAGTAACAGGTGACAGACAGACATGTTCACATAAACCTGTGAGCAGAAAAGACTTTGTTAGAAGTTAGTTGGTGGTGGATATCACAAGCATGCTTGCCACACAGGCTTGTCTGTAGGTTAATAGTTCGGTCTATTTACTTCAATATAATAACAATCTGTAGATACAATCCTGTTTTTACTTAAGCTTGACAGACCCTCAACGTTACATTCTTCACACTACTACAAATATGTAAAGTCGTAAATTAAAGCCTGAGCTCATATCTTTCGCTCTCACTCGATGCCGTGTCTGTGCGTACCTATTTCACACCAGATGTAAAATCTCAGCATACTTGATGTTTAATTGAAATGGGGATGCAAACTGTGCAAATGAAATCAACATAATGACCATTTCGTCTGCCATTATAGTGACCAGCATAATGAGCAGTTACTGTTTGTTCTTAATGGAGCTAAATGTGATGACTGGAGTACCGGCTCTAGACAGCTCTAAATCAATCACTGTGACTGTGCAGAATCACCACTGTATGAACATAATCTCAACAACACAACAGCAACATCGTATCACACCTCTCAGCTGCTGTGAGGAATCTCTGGTTGTCTGACAAGTTTTATACAGCACTCACTCGTAAGACTACGACACCAACAAGGTCACAAAAACCAGTGGCAGTCACATTTTTCTCTTTAATTTCTTTTTTGTTTTTGTCCTTGAAGATTAACTTCACTGTTTAGAAGCCATAATGGGTAGCCAAACAAAACTCCATCAGTATACTGTATGCCACTCGACTCTCATTTGATATGTTACACCCTATTCTCCCACTGCTTTAATGGTGTGACTGTAAAACTGGCTGTTAGATAAAATTGGGCCCCCTTGCATCGTTCTCATTAAATGACTCTAACCCTAAGCCTTATTTCAATAAGACTGAAAATAAAACCACAATACATCCTTTGGCAAAAAACTTTGGCATTCAGGGGCATTTTGTATTCCTGTTGTTCTAGGGAAAGAAGGTAGGCTATTGCATGTCTTGTTATTATAAATTATAGAATGCATCCATTTAATGAAGTGCAAACAGAGGGTTAGATAGCCGAAGAATCCCCTTTGCAAAATGTGTGCAAGTCAGCCACTAAATGGATGATTCAAACAGACATACAGGACACATCTAGCTACAAGAAATACACCAAGCATACGGTGTTTAACAGCCAGCCAAATAGAGGGGACATCAGTTTCCTCCCCTGGAGTAAACTTTCAAGTAGCCATCCCTCTGCATTAATGGGCAAGACTTATAATTTGCTTAACCTCAGAGCTACACAAATACTTTACTTCACTGCAACGGAACAATGTAATTGACCATAAACAGCTAGAGAGCTGGGACAGTTTAGACAGCAGAGGATGGCATCCACTGCTTATGCAAAACAGGATCAAGGTCGTGACAGGGACAGGGATGTTGGTGGTTAGCGAAGTGGGGGATGGGGGGGGGGATAGAAAAGGGGGTGAATGTGTATTGAAATATAGAAATAGAGGATGAGAGGGACACGGAGGAAGGGAAGGAAATAGAGTGCATTAGATGGAGAGAGAAGACAAAAGAGGGACGGTAGGGGTTGAAAAAAGGGGAGGTGTGTGGAGAAAGAGGTAGAGGAAGAGAGACAGAGACAGAGAAGGTGATAAGAAAAGAAACAGAAGAAGGAGAGAGTGATAAAAAAGGCATCAAGGGACCGAGAGTCTCACTGAACATAATTAACATGACAGTGTCAGGATGGCAGCAGGGCTAACTGCTGCTCCAATAATGAACAAATCAAACAAAACTCAGCCCTCTCTCACTAACACACACACACACACAAAATTGTGTCTGCCTCCCATTCTCTCTATTGGCACATTCATGTAAAGTTACAAATATAATTTTCACACACACATTCCCACTCACCAAAAATCATTTCACCACACATTTCTACCTCCCTAAGATAAGCCACTGTTAAATGTGTAATCTTCCAGTACGTCTCTGTCACACACTCAGTCACATACATGCTGTGTCTCTCTGTCACGCTCCCCCTCCGTGTGTCTCCCTCTGTGTGTGTGTCTCTCTCTCTCTCTCTCTCTCTCGTTGCGTAGGCCTAACTGTAGCTGAAAGGGAAAGAAAATCAAATCCTCATTCCCTAAACAAACATCTCGCACACGCCATTAGGCATTTATATCTCCAGTTCTATCCAAACTACGCACATGGGCATTATAAAACCGTCCAAATCCACTTTTACACAGACATGAACACATAACATAGGCAGAGACAAACAAACAAAGTCTCCCTCACTCTCTGTCTTACTTTAGTTTCATTAGTGCCGACACACAAAAAGCATTTAATGTACTGTGCATTAAAAAGAGTCAATAACAATTACAATTTATTTTAAAAGAATCCCGGGTAAGTAAACACATTTATTTTCTCCATCTTGTTCTGTATGACACACAGACCTCTGTGCTTGTAATTAATGATGGGGCAAGGGGCAAATACATGCTAATGGAAAAAATGCAGACACCTTGGATGCCCTACACTAACAGATGTGCATTCACCCACATCATTTTAAGAGTGAAGATCTTTCTTCTATTATCCTCTTGACGTCAACAGCTCTCACAGTGCTATGTTATCAACAGACAATGTAAAGATAAATGGAGTTTTGACATGTACAACTGTCCGTGTCTTGCTGTGGTTATAAGACACACCACCTTCCGGTCTCAGGGGCATTAATGTTGAAACAAGGAATAAATAGGCTGCACCTTCAACCGATACTATATCACAGTGTTTCTCAAATTATTTTCTGGCAACTAAAATGGGTCACGCTGCTTTTTCTGTTGTGTACACAATTTAAGGAAGCAGCAATATTTTGAGAAGCTTCAGTTATTCAGGGAAGGCTTTTGCTGAGTGGGCATGTGACAATGTGTCTGTATGTGTCTCCGGTTCCCAAGTGAACTGAGGTACTCTGTATTTTTTATTTTTTTGCACCTGAGCCCCAGGAAACAACACATTTCAGCATGTTTTAAACATTTTAAAGGTTTCTTTCAATCATTACTAATTGCTGCCTTGTTGCCCAGAATGAGTGCCACTAGGAACTACTCCCGGTGCTGAGACAAAGGACATCACTAAAGCTAGGAGATGCAAACACTCAGATTTGTACTTCCATTGTTTTCCATAGAAAGTGACATCTCTTGTTAAATCTTCCCTGACTGCTACAGCCAATAAGATTCTGACAGTCTCAAACAAGTCTCAATAAATATATAAATAAACTGCAATACTGAATGACCTTATCGAACAATAAAGGGCAAGAAGATGTCAAACACCATCAGAATCTCCCTGAACCAGATTCACTACAGTGGCAAAGTCAATACCTACATCAGATAGCCAACAAGTACGTCACTGTAAACGTGCTGCTGAGTACTGATGACTACAGACTACCCCTCTATGGGTCTCAATAATACACATATAGGAGTGCCAGCACAGTATCGACTTTACCTGCTGCAGCAGCACATCAGACAAGGTGTGACAGAGCAGTGCCTGCATAACTCCCCCCAAACAAGCTCTGACCTTAAATCACTTCATTCAGCAAGGTTTCAGCAGGGACTTGCAGCCTATACTCAATCGTCGGTAATTCAGCGACTCGTGCTTCATTTTTATGTCTTTATGTTCCTATAGCGTCCATATAGAGGGATATATTGACTGATGTGATATCTGTATACCCTTAATTCATCACTGACATGCACGCACCGTGTCTGGTCAAACTGCCTCTCTCCAAGGAGAAACCAAATCCAGAGACAACAACAATGACTGGCGCAGCGCTGCAAATCCGTCAACCGCAATGGGAGATCAGAGTCCAACATTTGCACCGAATCAAAAACACACACACACACACACACACACACACACACACACACACACACACACACACACACACACACACACACACACACACACACACACACACACACACACACACGATTTTATTACAAACGGAGGGGGCAAAGCATGACAGAGACACCGACTAAAATGAACATGGCTACAGCATGCACGCATGGAAACCAGGGTTCTGGTCCCTCTCTGTCTTATTGGCATGACTGTATCTCCTATATAGGCTACATCAGCGCAACTGGCCGGTCTATTTCACTATAAGGTTACACTGTAACGGGATATAGCCTTATAATAAAATATAAATTCAAGGAAAACTAGTCCAGATGTAACTGACAAGTAGCCAAGTCCTTTTATGAATGCTGGACGAACAGCAGGTAAAGAAAGTGCGACAAAATCACTCTGAGCAGAATATAAAGTAGGGTAGACAGGATAAGTCTCTGTAGAAATACTGAATTAAATACGGTGATCTTTGATTTACTGTATATTCCTGCAGATACTTAACAGTGAGCCTTACCTTACAGGAACCTATATGTCTCTCTGACCGTCTGTCGCACGGCTCCGCTTGATAATTGGGTAGCAAGTTACAATCACAGAGAAAAGATAGTCCAATGTCAGACACACCGGAGCTGCCTCTGATTGCTGTGCAGCTTCCTCCGTTTTCCAGTCACGCACACCTGAGCCTCTCTCCAAACACCTCTCTCCCTCATCCCACCCCTTTTCCTCTCGCCTGCTCCTCCTCTCCTCAGCCCCTCTCCTCGCTTTCCCTCCGCTCATCTCTTCCTCCTCAAAAAAAAACGCCCCATACCAGTACCTCCATCTTTAAAAGTGTACGCTCCGGTATTCTTCCCTTTTTTCATTTTCATTTTACACCCTGTCTTCTCCCCTCCAAGGTCTGTCTTTAAACTTATTAATGGTGTCTGTTTTTAATTCAAACGATACGGCAAATGTGTCCATTAAGTCAATTCAGGTTATTCTGGTTTTACACATTTTGCCAACTACGTTAACTAACATTAGCTAAACTCTTCCACTGGCCGTTGCTAGGCGACGCACAGCGCTACAGCGCGGAAGTGTGTTGCCAAAGTCTGTTTCTACATCGACTTTTCTCGCCCTTGAACCCCTGTATGCAATGTTTCAGTTTAAATCTTACCTTTACAGCAACCAGTGTCTCTATAATTCCTACCACTGGTGGATAAGGGAGACACTATTTGAGGGAGGGGGCAGACTTCGGCGTAACACCTGTACGGCTATGGAGCGTGATTCAGCCAATCAGTGGCAACGAGCGCCGTTCATTGTCACGCCCTCTCCCTATCTAATTCAATTTTTTAAAATTCAAATGTGATTTATTGGCATGACTATTATTACATTAAGTTGCCGAGGCGTGTCGTAGCCTCCAAGGTTCTCAATGAAAGTAATGGCGTCAGAAAGAACAACAGGCAGATAAAGACACGCAGAGGGAGACTGCAGTGCGATGGTCAAACTGAGCGTATTGGTTTGTGTGACTTGTGTCTATATGTCTCTGTCTTCTTCTATCTTTTCTTTCATTTCCCCTTGTGTCATCCCTGTTTGACCGTCTGCTCCCCTGTTGGCTCTCACTCTGCGTTTTACTCCTACATTAAATCTGGCCCTCTCTCACGCCTTTTACTTCCAATGTAAATACTGCCAGATGAGGCAAATGGACAAAAAAGAGCCTGTACATCACAAACACACTGTATCCTATCTGTGGTTCTTCGCCATAAGTTACAGCCTACAATGTGTGGGATGAAGATGGACTGTCTGTGTGTGTGTGTGTGTGTGTGTGTGTGTGTGTGTGTGTGTGTGTGTGTGTGTGTGTGTGTGTGTGTCCTCCTCTCTCTGATCAAATAGACATCAGAGGTGACACTGTGGGCTGGGATAACGATGCAGTGGAGGAGATCGATAACATTTGAAGTTTCATAGCGGTCACACGAGTAAAGAGCCATTAACCTATACAGCTTCGCCTGGCGTCCAACTTCAAGACCCACAGAGAGCAAATCATTAAAGATAAAAAAAAAATCAAAAAAATCAATACAAATCTAATGGAAACATCCTGCTCCGCCTGGAGCCGTCTCCAGCCACATAACACTGACACTGACGGGCAAACGACGAAAAGGCACTTGTTTGTGTATATGTAAGTGCATGTAATGTAAATGTAAATGTATATGTAAAGTATATTATATTCGTTTTATGTGGCTATAATAAAAAAGGTTAATACAAAATAATTTTGTTTTATTTTTATTATATTATTCTATCAATATAAACGCATGTTAAGATACAGGTCTACAGTACAATATTATACAAGAAATTATTAAACTATTATTGGTTAATGATGGAAACCTGTTTTTCCTCTCTTGTGCGTTCTTCAACTCTTTGGAATTTTTTTGTAAATGAGACTGTCTGACAATAAATGGGCTAAATATTAGTATTTCCTTGTAAAAAAACAAAAAAAGAAGAAGAAGACTTTAGTGATACAATGCCACTAACGTTTCATAAATCAGTGCAGCACAAGGAATTATAGGACACTGACAATATCATATGCGCTATTAGGTCGCTGTCAGACCCCAGTGAGTCGCCTATCGAAGACACAGCGGCTCACGGAAATACTATAGAAGTGATTGTAATGGCTTTACTTACACTACAAAGGCATATAATACGCAAAGGAAGTTGTTGTACAGTCCCTGTGAGGTGCACTCACACATACACTAACCTGTCTGGGTCTGTGGGGGTAAAAAATAAACGCATGAGAGACTGTCTTTACCGGGTCATGCCACTACATCTATTTCCCTCCACGCATGGCGCACAAGAGAAGTTCAGAGTCGCATACCTTTGCTTGCAGTACAGGTGAATGCTCCTGGAGAAACGCAGCATCCCTCACTCGTCCATCACGCTCGTGGTGGGTAATCTACTTTTTCACTATGGCAACAAATAAACCCCCTGTCCTCTCTCTCTCCGCCGCGCCACGCGCTCCAATGAGGAGGCTCCGTTCGCGTCACAGGTCATCCACCCCTCTCTCTCTCTCTCTCTCTCTCTCTCTCTCTCTCTCTCTCTCTCTTTCTTTCTCTGTCTCTCTCGATATCACACCTACCTCTAAGATACCATCTGGAGATAGATACTGATAGAGAGTAGCCTGGGAGGAAACATGGGAGAGACAGGGGGAGTATGGGATGGAAGGGGGGGTTTAGAGCTTGGCTACGGCAAGGCTTGGATTAATTTGCCAGCCAAATGCATTTGGGATTAGTAGACCATTAAAAGAGCATCTACACACACACACACACACACACACACACACATACACACACAACTACACAAACACACACACACTGTATTTCTCACACACATGCAGCTTTAGCTGATGCAGTGATAGCCTTACTAACCATGACCTCTATCTCTCTCACTCTTTCTCTCTCTCTGTTTCACTTTTCTGAGCTAGTTTTGACACAAACAAATGGGCTACCATACCAGTGCACACAAACACATAAACAGAGTCACACACACTCACACAGTTTCACAAATGTCAGCCTAAATCCCACTAAGGTTTTCCAACAGAAAGTTAACAAAACTAATAGCAGTATGTTATATATTTGATTAACTGATCAGTATGAGCTGAAATGGTACAAGCCTTGTGGCAACTACTGGATTTGTTTACCATGAGGTCTTTTAAAAGTCCACTGTGTAACATCTAAGAGGCTCTGTCATGGATTATAATATGCATGACCATGTTTTCATTAGTCTATAATCATCTGAAAATAAGTATTGTCATGTTTTTGTTACCTTGGAATGAGACTTTTATATCTAAGAATGTAGCAGGTCGCCTTCAATGGAGTCCGCCATGTTAAACCGCCATGTAGCCCAGAACAAACCAAATACTGGATCTAGATAAAGGCTTTCACGTTTTTCATGCACCATAGTTGCAATCTGCGAGATCTAGATGCCACTTAATCCTATATACTGAACCATTAGTATCCCAGCTGAAATAATGTGAAGTATATTCCTAAATAAATTTGAATTAAATAAACCTTTAATCAAACTAAACTTCAGGGGGGGCTCACAGCCCACTTTTTGCCCCAGAGCCCAATAGTACGACAATCTAGTCCTGAACATGCAATGCAGATTGTTTGCAGCATATATGATCAGGTATATTTTTGTTATGATGAAAATAAAGCTAGTTTGGTTTTAGAAGAAGAAGAAAAAGTCAGCTGAGCTGAAACTAATTAACCATGTGAGTTGATGTCCCATAAAGGAAGGACAATACCTGCCTGTCTAATGATGGATTCGAGCAGTCTTAAGATCATAAAACCGGCTACATATTCAAACAGCCAACAAAGTGTTAAATATAATTTACATCAGGCAAGTTAAATGACTATTCCCTGATACGGTACCTGAGCTTACAGTACGAACTGTAATGTGTCCGTTTCCTACATAATAGAAAAGTTGTGAGCAATGTGTCAACTTGTGAAATACATAATGATATTCTTCCATCCATATATCCATATAACTTCCACTTAACATCGTAGTCAGAGGGGCAACAATACTGGAATTTCAGAAACATTTATATCTTTCAGTGACTTCTGGACAAGAAGACAGGATTTTTCCATTGCAGTTTGGATTGTTGCAGAAAATAAGCTCTGTGATGAACGAAAGTTTGTCATACATGTTATGTTTTGTTCAGTAAGAGAATCTTCACAAATGAACACCACTTTGTTCTCGTTATGTTTGTTCAAATATAACATTAATGTACATTAATTTAAATGAATAGTGCCTAATGTAAGAGATAGCAGCATATTATTCATACAGTACTCTTTACTCAGAAGCACATTATGCATATGGTTTTGTGGGGGTGGGGCTGTGACTGGGCGGCAGCAATGGATTCCCCCCCCCCTTGGGGGCGCCCCTGTCTGACAATAAATGTTACTGGTAAGTTGCCTAACAGAGAATCTCCCTCAACATATATATGGATCCTTGCACAAACAAAGAATTTCCTTGATCACTCACACGGACATCAACAATAGAGACTCAAAAACACAATTCACATGTCATTGATTTTCTAAATGGAGCTGTATAGGATGAATTAAACACTGGAATGATCTGGGGTCACATTTCCATGGCAACCCTTCACTGTTGTAGTTAAGCAGAAAATCAACAAGCAGCCAATGGATCAGCTCAATTTGTCTCATTTGATGCCAGTCAAAGTCACACAAACACACAAATTCAGCTCATTAATCACTAGGAGGGACACTTGAAACTTAATAGATGCAAATTTGGATCAATAAGTGAATTAAAATTGAGGCATGTGATAGAGCAGAGTGTGTCAAATCATGGAGAATTGGATTGAAATGTATGATAGATGAACATTATCTAGTTACCACACTGTATGTGTGTAATCTGACACTGTTAAGCAGAGTGTGTGGGCTACAGTGGAGAGCATAAGATAGCGACAGGTCCCCTGGTTGGAAGAAAATAAGATTACAGTGACACAACAAGGACAGCCTATGAAACATACCTGCATTCTGTGTGTATAACTGGTGTGTAACTATGTACAAGTGTGCAGCACACATTTAAACATCTAAAAAATCTCTTTTTTATCATACTCCTCCGCAAATCACAAGCACAACAGAGTCAGTGTCACAGTCGGCAAATCAATTATTCAATGGCATTTCAAAATAACAGTGGATACCCATGGTTGCCATAGACACATAGCTGATTTACAGGGTTGTCACTTGACTATG